CCCAAGTCCGTCGCCCCCACGTCCACCCTCTCGCCGGCCGGCGCCGCCCACCCCCGCCTGCTGCCCTCCCACCGGCCTCAGCGCCTGGTCGCGTCCTGTAGCTCAGCCCATCCTGACCTCGCCGCCTTCCCCAACCCAAACGGCCTCCTGGTGGCCGAGCCCGCTGCGGCAGCGCCCGTCGACATTGACGTGGCCACGGAGGCCGAGCTGCGGGAGAACGGGTCCCGGAGTACGCGCCGCACCAAGCTCGTCTGCACCGTGGGCCCCGCCACCTGCGGCCCCTCGGAGCTGGAGGAGCTGGCCGTGGGGGGGATGAACGTCGCGCGTCTCAACATGTGCCATGGGGACCGCGAGTGGCACCAGAAGGTCATCAGCTCCGTGCGGAGGCTCAACGAGGAGAAGGGGTATGCCGTTGCCGTCATGATGGACACCGAGGGGAGCGAGATCCACATGGGGGACCTCGGCGGCGCGCCAGCGGCCAAGGCGGAGGTGAGGTTGGCGCTGGTTTTTGGCTCGGCAGCTGCTCTTCCCTTTTCATGTATTGTGCTCGATGAAATGCGCGCCTGGACGAGGATGATGCTATAGTGCTGTCATGCCTGTATTCTTATGCATGCTTTATCTGTTAGTCCATGGAATTCATAAGATTGTCTTGAACGCAGTGAGAGGGTAGATTTAGGTTTGAGCTCAAGACGCCAGTTTGGTATGTAACTAGCAAATATGCTAGTGCGTTGCAACGGGAGAAAGATATTCTTGACCCTCCAACTAATAAAAGAACACAACGCATAAAGCCTGAGAATCGGGCTAAGAGGCATATATATAGTGGTGCAATACCAACCATGTCTGACTTGTTCCTTAGAATTCTCATGCACATCAGACAACATGTGCTTCGCTACGGAGCAAACACCAGCTGTCATGAACCAGGGTTGGTTTGGTTGAGGAATTGGGTAGTGAAGTGTCGTTCGTGTCCGGTGAGATTGAAACCGTTGCGCCAAAATTCTCGATCCTCCAACTAACATAATAGAAAAATTCGAGGAGTTCTTATCGAACACATTAGGGACTCGGCTGAGGTACGCGGGTACAGCTGTGCACATGTATGAGCTACCTTGATCGATTCCTACTTGAAGTATTGAAGGCTGGCTTAACACACACGCAGCGCACGTGACACGGTACATCGATTTGGTTGCCTCAGAAGCTTGTCTTTCTTTGATCTGATTGATTACACGTAGAGTTACATGTATAGATATAAAGCAGCAAAAGGTAGCTAGGTAATATCTATAAGGTGATTGTTTCGGGTCTGACCTGGACTATGACTTGTGGTTAATTCGAACAGAAGGATTAGGATAGCCCAGCTGTACTGGCGTACGTGAGCTAGACTCTTGTGTTCCTGTTTCATGTGCGAGAGACAACCGAGGAAAATCTAGGGGGAAGCTTTGCGCCCGTTGATTGAAAAGAAAGGATAACTTGTATGCTTCCACCGGCCTATTTGGCTGAGTTGGTTACAACAGATAGAACTAAACCGCAAGTCACGTGTTTGAATCCCATCTCCGTATGGCCAAGCCGCTCGCGTGGGCATAAAATTCCTGTTCGCTGCAAGCTGTTTTTTTCAAAGCCCAAGTGTACGCAGCCACCATGTTTTTCGCTGAAATATACAGGCGAAGTCCCAAGTAGACGCTGTCTTTTCGGTGGCTTTGTTTTGCTTTTGGAGCGTGGGCAAGGCCCAACCGAACGAGGGAGGACGAAACAAAAATTAATGTCCCACAAACACCAACTTCCCTTTAATAGTAGAGGTATCCCATTTTTAAAATGCTGGGTAGCATTTCTAATTTAATTTCTTGAATGCAGGGGCCAGTAAAATAGCTGAAACAAGGGATATTATAGCAATTATGTTGTTTCAGATATTTGTTTTTGCGTATCTTTGTCATATGTTTGGTACTGGGTAGTTACATGAAAAAAATTCTAGATTCTAGATAGCTAAGAAGTTAAGAAGTGATGAGTAATGAGCTTCTGAAGGTAATTGTCATGGTCTAGGGTCCAACACTTGAATAATCCTATGAAGCATCCTTCAGGTCTTGCTTTTAGCAGCTCTCGAAACAAAAAAGGTATTCTGATTTGAGTGACTTCAGTGGATTGGTTGTACCAGATTTAGTTGTTAGGAATTTAGTATGATTTTTTAATCTAATCTGTAGTCACTTTTTGGCCATTTGGGTTGAACTCCCAATGACCCCAACATGACTGATATGTGACATGGTTGGGCATGTTGTCTTTGGTTAACTTATCAATAGGATTTGGGCTTGAGTTTTCTTTTCTTCTAAGGTGGTGTTATTGCTTCTTTAAATACTTGGAAGTTAATAGTGCTTGAGACCGTGTTTTGGAAACATGTATATATATTTTCAGAGAATCCTTGAAAGGTTAAGGCAATTGATTGTAAGAATAGAATTGCCCAGTTCATTAGGGAAAACCAGGCGAAAACCAGAAAAAACTTGTAAAACCCACAAATTTCTCGAATCTTTTCCCCTCTCTATAGGCAGGCTTAGCAAAATCTTCGTGATTAGTGGAGTTTGAACTTTGCGGATCACCTTTGTCAATGGAAATACAATGGTAAGAAAAATTCAATAAAATGGAGTAACTCAAAGGAGAAAGGCATTTTGCACGCAGTCGCCAAGTTCTACGATCAAGAAAAGACTAGTGTAATCATAACAAAAATTAAAGATGTGCATGTTCAAGCTAATGCAGCCTTTTATGAAAGCTGGGTTACTTACTTTTCAAATTTAATCTTATCTTCTATTCTTAAATAGTTGCAACCCACTATCTATTCTAAGCATGCAGAGCCTCCACACAACAAACCATGCATGTCCTCCACGTCTTTAATCTGCCATCCCAAACTATTTTTCCCATGCGTGCAACCCTTTCACATCAACAAATCATGCATGGCTGCCAAATCATTTGCCATCACATCAAAATTAATTCTCACAATTATTCACGCCATCAATCTAATTATCCATGTTTTCAGCTTACCATCCCGCGACAACGCGTGGGTTATCTGCTGAGTAAATAGGCAATTTTTCGACTAATTTAATCCATAGATAAATCACTAGCATGACATTGACTGAATTAACGACATACTGATTCTGATCTAAACAAGCACGTACTATGCAAACAGTAGACACATCTACACATACTGCTAGTACTGATAATATGAAAATAAACAGGAGCGGGATAAACGTGTTATACCCTCCAGTAGGCCAGGCAAAAGCCGCCGCGGCGGTGGCGGCAGCAGCGTCCTCGGCGGCCTCGAGCTTCTCGGCGGCGAGACGATTGGCGTCGGACTGAGACATGGTGATGATGAAGACGACGCAGACGTAGACGAAGTAGTGGATCGGAGGCGAGCAGTCGCGTAGTCGCTTCCCAAAAACCTATTCGCCCCTCCCCCGTACAGGATCCGGATAGGCGGGGTTTCGGAGACCTGCTCTCCCGTTGACCGTGTACGCGGCGGACGAGATGGAGTCACCGGCGGCAGCAACAACAATGGAACGACAGTGGGCGTGTGCGTGGAGCAGATGTGATCTGTTCGTGGCGGCTAGGGTTAGAAGACACCTCACACTTATATAGGCGCATACGCGTGGAGAGACGTGGGCTCGACCCACGTCCGAGTCCGTGACAGCCCACGATCCAACGTCTCAAATCGTGGCCCAGCTGTTAGGAACTCTCCGTTACTGACTGGCAAAAATAAGCACATAGGTGTGAGCTCGGCTCGGCTCATTCCCGCAACCCGCTGCGTGTCATGACGAGGAGTGGCGTGGCGAGGCGGGGCAGGCGGCGGAGGAGGAGTGCGCGAGGGCCTCTTCTCTTCTCAAGCTCCAATAACATGTAGAAGAGAAACCCTTATAAGGAGGTTCAACTCCTCTCCAACTTCCGGGGTGGGACTAAACTTCCCACTACACCTAGTGCCAATGAACCCACATGGGCCCTTAGAGATTTTCAGAAATTGTTAGATGGGCCCTAGGCCCACCCTAATATTTCAACAATCCCCCACCAGATCTCGAGGGCCCACTGTGTCCTTTGTTTCAATTGTTGTTTCGATATACCAGTGTTTCAGTGAAGACCTGTTAAGGTTGAACTTCACGAGCAAGTAGCTACACTCTATCACAACTGAACAATGGACTAAGCCTTGAATTGTCAGTTTGGCGTAAAGAAGCTTCACCACATGTCTTACTAGTACTAGGCTGCCGAAGGCCGACCCCTCGGGTGGAGCATATAAATCACACTCCTGGCCTATTCATGACTTGCTAGAGATCACCCTAATCTCATAGACTGTGACCAGCAGTCGGTCTCATATAGGTGTGTTCCTCCAAAGATCGCTCTATAGGATAGCATCTTGCTTACATAAGCTTTGGAACACATTAAGACAATAATCATCCTACCATACAGTATTGAGAGTATTGCATCTCCAACGTAGTGGGTTAGTATAATTACTCTCCTCAGTTCACCACTGGCTTGTTTTCCTAGGTCCTACTTCACGGGATCTCCGATCACATAGGTTGGGTTACAACCATGGCAACTCATGTGGGTCTCATACCCATCTCCCTCGATGCATTATCTATCACAACACGTGATAGACCTTTAGTAAAGGGATCTGCCAGATTCTTAGCCGTGTAGACATACTCCAACGCTATCACTCCGGAGTTTCTTAATTTTCTGTCAGCTTTTAATCTCATTCTTATGTGTTTGTTGGACTTCATGTTGTCCTTTGAACTCTTCACCTTGGTGATGACAGTCTGATTGTCACAGTTCATAAGGATAGCCGGAACCGGTTTATCAACCAATGGCAAGTCCATCAAAAGATCTCAAAGCCATCTTGCTTTGACACCAGATGTCTCTAATGTTGTTAATTTTGCTTCCATTGTGGATCTCGTTAAGATCGTTTGCTTGCAAGACTTCCAGGAAACAGCGCCACCTCCAAGAGTAAACATATACCCAGTTGTGGCCTTCTTCTCATCAACATCAGAGATCCAATTCGCATCACTATACCCTTCAAGTACCGACAAGTATCCGGTATAGTGAAGTCCATAGTTCATAGTACCTTTCAGATAGCGCATAACTCTTTCAACAGCATGCCGGTGTACATCACCCGGTTTGGAAACAAATTGGCTCAGTTGCGCTCGCTAGGTACATGAGTGAACCAATGATTTGAGAGTATCTCAATTGATCTTTAGCCGTGCCTTCGAACTTTCGAATCAACACACTAGGATCATATGGTGTTTGAGATGGTGTGCAGTCCGAATATCCAGAATGACTCAACACCTTCTCAACATAATGGGATTGCAGAAGTGTAATCCCACCGTCATCATCTCTCAGTAGCTTGATGTTCAAGATAACATCAGCCACACCAAGGTCTTTCATCTCAAAGTTCTGAGATAGAAACGACTTGACCTCCTCAATGACTTTGAGGTTGGTTCCGAATATCAGTATGTCATCAACATACAAGCACAGTATAACTCCTTCGCCCCCACCATGGCGATAGTATACACATTTGTCAGCTTCATTAACAACGAAGCCAACAGATGTCATAATTGTATTAAACTTATCATGCCATTGCTTAGGTGCTTGTTTCAGGCCATATAAAGATTTCAGCAACCTACACACCTTTCTTTCCTGACCATCTATCACAAAGCCATCTGGCTGTTGCATGTAGATTTCCTTGTTTAGCTCTCCATTCAGAAAAGTCGTCTTAACATCCATCTGGTGGACGAGAAGACCATGTGAGGCCGCCAATGAGAGTAGTACTCGAATGGTTGTCAGTCTAGCCACAGATGAATAAGTATCGAAGAAATCTTCCTCTTCTTTCTGGTCATAGCCCTTGGCCACAAGCCTAGCCTTGTACTTTTCAATCGTACCATCGGGCCTAAGCATCTTTTTGAACACCCACTTACATCCCAATGGTTTGCAACCATAGGGACGCTCAGTGATCTCCCATGTCCCGTCAGCCATAATGGAATCCATCTCGCTACGGACCGCATCCTTCCAGTTGTTAGCTTCTGGAGAGGCATACACTTCTGAATTAGAAGTGGGAGTATCATCCACGAGGTACACGAAGAAATCATCACCAAAGGTCTTTGCAACCCTTTGTCTCTTGCCCCTACCAAGGGTTTCCTCGTCATCCTCCTCAGGATTTTCATCATGTGTTTGTTCATATATTCCATAGGAATGGCAGGCTTAGGAGTCTCCTCAGATTCCTGTCTAGAAGTGCTCTGTATCTCTCTCATAGGAAAAATATCCTCGAAGAATTTAGCATCCTTAGACTCCATAATTGTACCGACCTTCTGGTCAGGTACCTCAGATTTCACTACTAGAAATCTAGCCAACGCTATTCTTAGCGTAGCCCAAATTAACGCAGTCCACAGTCTTTGGTCCAAGCTTGCGCTTTTTGGGGATAGGCACATTGACTTTCGCCAACCAGCCCCAAGTACGGAAGTACGAGAGTGTTGTCCTTCTCTTCGCCCATTTCTCATAGAGAGTGATCTCATTATCTTTTGTCGGAACTTTATTCAGGACATGACATGCCGTCAATATAGCCTCCTCCCACCATGCCTTTGATAAACCCGATGTATCTAACATGGCGTTAACCAAATCAGTTAAAGTACGGTTTTTTCGCTCGGCAACCCCGTTTGGCTGGGGTGAATAGGGAGGCGTCCTCTCATGAATAATGCCGTGTTCCGCACAAAAAGAATCAAACTCACTCGAGAAGTACTCTCCACCACGATCTGATCGGACTCGTTTAATTTTCTTTTCAAGTTGATTCTCAGTTTCTGCCTTATAGATTTTAAAGTAGTGTAGAGCCTCATCTTTAGTATTTAACAGATACACATAGCAATATCTAGTGGAATCATCTATCAATGTCATGAAGTATTTCTTTCTACCTTTAGTCAACACACCATTCATCTCACAAAGATCAGAATGTATGAGTTCTAATGGTGCCAAGTGTCTCTCCTCCGCAGCCTTGTGAGGCTTGCGAGGTTGCTTAGCTTGCACACATGAAAGGCACTTAGAACCTTTGGCTAAAGTGAAACTCAGGATTAAATCCAACTTAGCTAGCCGCGTCATAACACCGAAACTAATATGACAAAGACGTGAATGCCAAACCTCAGATTCATTAACACTCGAATGAATATGGTTCGCGACTTTATTACAAAAATCTGCAAGGGAAAGGCGGAACATCCCTCCGCTTTCATAACCTTTTCCAATATAAATAGTCCATATTTAGTAACAACTAATTTATTAGACTCGAAGATCAACTTAAACCCTTCCCTACATAGAAGGGAGCCACTAACGAGGTTCTTCTTGATGGCGGGGACATGCTGCACGTTCTTGAGCTGCATGATCCTTCTCGAAGTAAACTTCAGATCGACCGTGCCAACACCATGAACAGAAGCACTCGCGCCATTCCCCATCAATACGGACCCGTGGCCTGTGACCTGGTAAGAAGTGAACAATGAAATGTCAGCACACACATGAACACCTGCACCTGTGTCCACCCACCAATCGGTGGGTTGAAACACTGAAAAATAGTAAATAAAATACCGTACCCAGATGCACCATTCTCATTGTTGCCCATAATCATGTTGACAGACTTGGAGTCTTGTCCTGACTTCTTAAACTTGTTTGGGCACTTGTTGGCCCAATGTTCAATCGAACCACAAGTAAAGCAGCCCTCATCCTTATTGTTCTTCTTGAAGGTCTTCTTACCCTTCTTCTTAAAGTCGGTATTGTGTTGGACACCGTTCTTTCCCTTGGGCTTGTGGGAGTTGAAGTTCCTTTGGTTCACCATGTTGGCGATAGAAGTCCCTTCGGCCCCTTTTCCATGCGAATCCTTTGCTCTCGAATTCTGCTCAACACTCAGATGGCCAATGACATCCTCCACTGAGAATTCACACCTCTGTTGTTTCAGAGTGGTGGCAAAGTTCCTCCAGAAATTAGTGAGCTTAGCGATTATGCAGCCCGCGACAAACTTGCCCGGTAAATCGCACTTAAGAAGCTCAAGCTCCTTAAAGATGCATATTATCTCATGAGCCTGCTCCAGTACAGGACGGTTTTCAACCATCTTGTAATCGTGGAACTGCTCTATAATATACATTTCGCTCCCAGCGTCGGTGGCCCCGAATTTAGATTCGAGTGCCTCCCACAAGTCCTTGGCAACATGCACATGTAAATATGCGTCAGCCAATTTATCTCCGATCACGCTAAGAACTGCTCCGAGAAGTACGACGGTGGCCTCCCTGAACGCCTTCTCCTATTCAGGAGCAATCGTTCCCGTGGAGACACCGGCGACCTAGAACACGTTCATAGCCGTGAGCCATAAAGTGGTCTTAGTCTGCCAACCTTAAAGTACGAACCGGTAAACTTATCCGGTTTCAGTGCAGCGGCAAAGCCACTTGCCGAAAAATTCTTACACATAATAGGTTTTTGGATTGCTGAGTAAATAGGTAATTTTTTGACTAATTTAATCCATTGATAAATCACTAGCATGGCATTGACTGAATTAACGACATACTGATTCTGATCTAAACAAGCACGTACTACGCAAACAGTAGACACATCTACACATACTGCTAGTACTGCTAATACGAAAATAAACAGGAGTGGGATAAACGTGTCATACCCTCCAGTAGGCCAGGCAGAAGCCGCGGTGGCGGTGGCGGCAGCAGCGTCCTCAGCGGCCTTCTTGTCGGCCTCGAGCTTCTCGGTGGTGAGACGGTCGGCGTCGGACTGAGACATGGTGATGATGAAGATGACGCGGACGTAGAAGAAGACCGGAGGCGAGCAGTCGTGTAGTCGCTTCCCAAAAACCTATTCGCCCCTCTCCCGTACAGGATCCGGAGAGGAGGGGTTTCGGAGACCTGCTCTCCCGTCGATCGTGTACGCGGCGGACGGGATGGAGTCACCGGCGGCAGTAGCAGCAATGGAATGACGGTGGGCGTGCGCGTGGAGCAGATGTGATCTGTTTGTGGCGGCTAGGGTTAGGAGACACCTCACACTTATATAGGCGCAGACGCGTGGAGAAACGTGGGCTCGACCCACGTTCGAGTCCGTGACAGCCCACGATCCGACGTCTCAAATCATGGCCCAGCTGTCAGAAACTCTCCGTTACCGACTGGCAAAAATAGGAACATAGGTGTGAGCTCGGCTCGACCCATTCCCGCAACCCGCGGCGCGACGTGGCGTGGCGTGGCGAGGCGGGCGGCGGAGGAGTGCGTGAGGGCCTCTTCTCTTCTCAAGCTCCAATAGCATGTAGAAGAGAAACCACCCTTATAAGGAGGTCCAACTCCTCTCCAACTTTTGGGGTGGGACTAAACTTCCCACTACACCTAGTGCCAATAAACCCACATGGGCCCTTAGAGATTTTCAGAAATTGTTAGATGGGCCCTAGGCCCACCCTAATATTTCAACATTATCTACTAGTTTTTCATATATAACAGTTGAAATTTTGATGGTGGTGGCATGATCCGGTCTATTTCATACTACATGTTATGAATATAATCTGTAAAAATTTCAGACTAAAGTTTAATCAATAGCTATACGTAATTGAGACACTACTCTGAAAAATGAGATTCTGACATCCTCTTTGTGAAAATATCATATAACAAGAGCTGGATGTGAAGATTGAAGAGTAGCCAACTACCCAACCCAACTCATTTATCCTCATATTTAATGAGAATCCCTGATATGTTCAGCTATATCGTTTACTGTGCAATTTCTAATTTGAGCCTTGGGTGCAAGTGTTTCTGTGGTCATTACTAGGAATTTTATTTGCTATCCTTTTTAGAGAATTGCCTCAGTACCATTATAAGTTTGGGCACACTATTTTGGTGGATTTCACAGGATGGAGAAATCTGGACATTCAGTGTTAGATCTTTTGAGGCACCTCTCCCAGAACTAACTGTTCATGTGAACTACGAAGGCTTCGCTGAAGGTTAGTATACCTCTTCATTACCCTCTATAGTTTTTGTCGCCGCTTAATTATATTTCTGATTCCTACCCAGATGTGAGAGTTGGTGATGATCTTCTTGTGGATGGTGGAATGGCTCGGTTTGAGGTTGTTGAGAAACTAGGACCGGATGTGAAGTGCCGTTGCACAGATCCTGGTTTGTTGTTGCCACGTGCCAATCTTACATTTTGGCGGGATGGCAGTGTTGTCCGCGCGAAGAATGCCATGCTTCCGACAATTACATCTAAGGTAACTTTACTATCATGATAAGCTGTTGCTATGAATCTGTAGTATTCTGTGTGAAACCTTGGATTGTCAGCATTTCCTTTTGTTGTCTGAATCATGAAATCTTTTCAATTGGAAATGCCCTATTTACTCCATAAATATCAGTGCATTGTAACACTGAAGAATTTCCTGGAATAGTCTGTCATCTGTTTCTTAGATTGCTACCTGGGTGGTTTGTTTTTTGCTGAAAAAGGGATTTGGCAGTTATCGATAATAATCCCCTTTTTCTTGTGATGCCTTTTGCAGGACTGGCTTGACATAGACTTTGGAATTGCCGAAGGTGTAGATTTTATTGCAGTTTCATTTGTTAAGTCAGCTGAGGTTATTAACCATCTAAAGAGCTACATAGCAGCAAGGAGCCGTGGCAAGTAATATTTCTCTCAAGTTCTTGACTAGTTGAAAAGAATTGTTTAATGCCATCTGATGCGTTCTTTTCCATCCTTCTGTCCATGGAGCTGTGGCATCACTTTACACATCCATTGGATGAAATAATATTGTCATGGAGATCTGAGCTCAGCTAACATACGCACATGCAAACTAATGCCTGAGCAGTACAAGGTGCACATGTCAGTCGCGCAGACAAGTATTATGTTTTTTGGTCCCACAGCTCCCAACATCCCATGTACAATATCACTAACAGACCCCCCCTCCCCCCACCCCGCACAAAAGAAAAGAGACTCAGTCATAACAGCACTAACCCTTTTTGTGTGAGGCAAGGCAACTTTTTTTTTTGCTTTCAAGGGTTGTGTTCTGAGGGTGAGTCAGGCATGCTGGATTGAGTGAGTTTTCTCCCTCAGTTGTACGTATTTCTTCGTAATGAAATGTTACACAGTTGTCTTGCGTGTTTGAGAAAAAATAACAGCGCTAACCCTTTCTAGTTCTCCTCCACTACTGTTCGCATATCGATTTTTGTATTTCCTCTTGGATGGCAATCGGGCGTGATTGGTCTGTTTAAGGGTCACCCATGCCATCCCTGCCACACATTTTCGCGCCCATGAGGACCACTCATGACAGGCACACAACCTTGCACATACCCGTCACCGGCTATTGCCCGACACCCATGGGTATGCTCATGTGCCTGACGCCCATCGGTCAGTAGCACATGGAGCTACCAAGTTTAGATGTCGATGCTACCTCAGTCAAAAAGGAGGTCCACATACAACAATTGATTCCATTGAATTAGACAGGGTTTAGTTTTGTAAACGGGTGGACCCGGCAGAGGTTACCTATGCTCTTGCCCACTTATTGGGCATTACTTTGCACCCACGAGGATGCCTGTGGGGAGAAAACTCGGAACATGTGCGCAGGTTACCGGACAAGATTGCCATCCTTAACTCTCTCCATTTCATATTTTAGGGCATATAGTTTCTTTTCTTACTTTATAAGGCATATGCTGGTAACAAAGCTGCAATCAAGTCTCATCTTCCTACACTACCCCTATGTTACTTTTCTTCCTCCATCCACCGCTAGAGTGACGGAGAGTTGCCAGCCATCCAAGTCTCCTAGGAAAGCTGAAATACATCCATTCATCGCTGCATATTGGAAAATAATTCACTAATGCAATAACCTCGGTGCAAGGTTACATAAGTTTTTCTACCCAATACTCTCTTGCTTTTGGCTCACCTTAATCTTCAGTTCACACTGGTTGCGAATACTTCTTAAAATATGAAATGGAGGGAGTAAGCTAAAGTTGGTTCCTCGACTGCCCTATTATCTCGCCATGACTCTATACCCATGTGCGCACATCTCTTAATCTCTTAGCTTGTAATCCTCAAGTGTAATCGTGTTTATCAATTTTGCAAAAAATAAAACAGTGTTTATTATATCGCCGTAACTTAAATGAGTGTGAGATCCAGTTTTCCTCCCCGCATCATCATCTTCTGTTCTTACTGTCAGAGGCCCCCTTCTACCCTGGTGCTTCTGCTCCAATCTCAGCAGCAATGGCTCTGTCATTGTGTGCTTCTCTAATCGCCGATCCACACTACATCCTCACCCTGCTTCTGGATAACTTGATTTGTAACATGCATCTCAATGATATTCTCCACTCTCCAATCGGCTCTTTGATCTGCCCCCGTGTTGTGAAGAGGGTAACGGAAGCAGCTATGCCTAGACTCCAGTATCTGAAGGCCGGTTAATAGATCAGACATGTTGTAGTGGCGGACACAGGGCTTGATGGAACCAGAAGCAGGCTCAAAACCTAATGAGTAAGGTTGATCACATCTTTTCTCCAGTAAGAGCCTCCTTGGGTAATGCTAAAGGTTGCTTGTGAGTGTCGCTTGCAAAGATGAGTGTGTCTGCAAGTGATGCCACTGAACGAAGCATGCCCATTCCTATATGCCACTGTCCACACCGGCAGTTGCATGCGATATGCTGTAGATGTAGCAAACCTGTATTCGGCTGCAATATACAGGCACCTCATTCCTATATAAATAATTCACTGTCTTTTGTTTCAAGAGATTTAGCACATAAGGATCTTCATGTTTTTCAATCCATGGTAACACAGACATTTATTTATTTAGTTTGAGTTGAATTTTATTTTCTCAACGGTCTGCATACTTGACAATACAATATGCATGACTACTATTTCTAGAGCTTTAGCAACTCTTATACCCCCAGGTATAGTTTTAAAAATCGGACCGTACCGGCGGTTGAACCAGAAAAAACTGGAACCGGTGGCACTCACGGTTTCTTAAGCACTGTGTGGACTGCCCCACCATCGGACCGGAGCGAAACAGGCGAACCGGCTGGTTTTTGGGGTAAACCAGGAGTAGAACTGAGCGGTTTAACCGAATCATGGGAGAACGCCTTTGCATGAAGCAGAAAAAGGATTGTGCCGGGGAGGAAACGAACCCAGGTCGCCCAACAAACAGGCCGTAGCCTAAAGTCTGGCCCAGCAACCAAACCAACTAGCCTACGTTATTGTCAAATGAAAGAAAACTATTTTATTTGACCTCTGTTAGTATATTAATACACAAAACATACCTTTTATAGCCTAAACAACCAGAATGAACCAATGAACGCACTGATTCTTGGTAGTTACTAGAGATAATAGGGCAAATCAGCGACCTTTGATCACCTTTTCACAAAAACGGAGAAGGAATTACAAATAATGTTATGTCGCAGTTGCGGACTTACGGTACATCCAAATGGATCATCTGAATGGTGCAGTCAGCTATAACTCACTGCAGCTCGGCCCCTTTCACCAAATTCGGGAACCAGCTGTGTATGGCTAGCTTTGTCCACTTTTTCATTATTAATTCCGGAGGACAATTAAGCGAACCATGCCTACAGGAATATTTGAGCTTTCAAATGTGAAGATTAGCTAGAGAGTCAGATTTTTTTTTGAAGATTAGCTAGGTTTCTTATGTACCATACTGTTGGGGCTGCATGAATCTTTGTTTATATTTGAACCCCTTAAGTCACAACTTCTGCTCACTCCGTGTGTATTTTGTTTGTGGCTAAATGAATGGGCATGGTAAAGAATTGCATGAAGCTGAATGGCAAAAGAAAATAGCCGTCACTCTGTTGGTATTTTGTAGTCTTTCTGAAGTTGATCTATACGCCTTATTTTCTGAAAAGGCCAACATAGATTATATATGCATTATGAATAGAAATGAGCCACATGCTGTGTTTCTGAAACATTAGTTTTGTTTGACTCAAATTGTTCCATCCTGATCATTATTATTTCATTGTCTATGATCAGTGATATAGCGGTCATTGCAAAGATCGAGAGCATTGACTCTTTGACAAACTTGGAGGAGATCATCCGTGCATCAGATGGTGCCATGGTAGCCAGAGGGGACTTAGGGGCACAAATTCCCTTGGAGCAGGTCCCTTCAATACAACAAAAGATAGTTAAACTGTGCAGGCAGCTAAACAAGCCAGTCGTTGTTGCTTCCCAGCTTCTCGAATCGATGATCGAGTACCCTATACCCACCAGGGCTGAAGTTGCTGATGTTTCTGAAGCAGTCCACCAATGTGCGGATGCTCTGATGCTTTCTGGCGAGTCAGCAATGGGTAGATATCCGGACAAGGCACTCAGTGTCCTCAGTAGTGTTAGCTTAAGGATTGAAAGATGGTGGAGGGAGGAGAAGCACCATGAGCCACTAGAACTTGAGGACGTTTCGTCTTCTTTCGCTGACAAAATATCAGAAGAGATCTGCATTTCTGCTGCTAAAATGGGTAAATATTGCTGTCACTTTATGTCCTGGAAATATTGCTCAATTGGCCCTTTCACTTGGTCTATAATATCTAACCAATTTGACTTGCAGCTAACAAGTTGGAAGTGGATGCCGTTTTCGTCTACACGAAGGGTGGCCATATGGCCTCCCTGCTTTCACGGTGCCGCCCTGACTGCCCAATCTTCGCCTTCACGAACTCGACATCCATGAGGAGACGACTGAACCTCCAATGGGGCCTCATCCCCTTCCGCCTCACTTTCTCCGACGACATGGAGAGTAACCTGAACCGTACTTTCTCCCTGCTCAAGGCGAGAGGCATGATCAAGCCCGGTGACCTGGTGATCGCCCTCTCCGACATGCTGCAGTCCATCCAGGTGATGAACGTACCATAAGAGGCATGAATCCCTAGCCGTGCTGTTCTGGCCAAAACGAGACACTGTTCTAGTGTTTGCAATTTATTCGTGTGTTCTTGAACGAGACACTGTTCTAGTGTTTGCAATTTATAAGTGTGTTCTTGTATTTAGACGGACCTGAGAACTCAACCGCGACAATAATAATGTGCTGCAGTTCCTAGCCTGCTGTAAAACTCATGTACTACGTATTATCCAGGATGGGCAGCGCCTTACCGTCTCCGTCCGGCGCTGCCCAGGGCCCCGGTCCATCAACGCCTGCGCTTCCCGTCCCCGCTGCCGCCTCCGCCCCCAGCCATGCAGTGCTTCCTCCACCGCGATCCGGTGCGGCGCCCTCGGGTCAGCAACAAGATGGTGGTGACGTCCCATGCACTCAAGCAGCATGAAGTTCACAACGCGGTCTCCCTCTCCGCCACAGACCGGGTCCACGCCACCAATCCCGTGGCAGGGGGGAAGGCCATCGAGGCGCAGCTCTGCATGCCCCTCCACCACCCCGAGGCGTTCCTCGTGCACTTTATGAAGGAAATATGCCCTAGAGGCAATAATAAAGCTGTTAGTTTATATTTCCTTATTCATGATAAAGGTTCTTGTTGATAAAAAATGGTTAAGGTTTTCTAACCATGGACATGAGTTGTCATTTGATAACAAGATCATATCATTAGGAGAATGATGTGATGGACAAGACCCATCCATTAGCTTAGCATAATGATTGTTCAGTTTTACTGCTATTGCTTTCTTCATGTCAAATGCATATTCCTTCGACTATGAGATTATGCAACTCCCGGATACCGGAGGAACGCCTTGTGTGCTGTCAAACGTCACAACGTAACTGAGTGATTGTAAAGATGCTCTACAGGTATCTCCGAAGGTGTTGTAAAAACCGTAAATATATATATATATATATAATAAATAAATTAGATAACGATAATTTCAACGGCGTTGCCAAAACATTAGTTAAAATAATAGAGACAACTACATTTATTATTACAACAAATAGCATTTAGTCGTGCAAAACAAATTCTTCTCCAAACCTCCATATATTTTATAGACCCTTGTCTCATTTCTTTCACATAAAGTAAATGCCAACTAAGGGCCAGCCAAACAAATTACACCTGTCCATAGTATAACCCATAAGAGACACAAGTGGAGGTATGCATGCAAGACTAACCACGCATGCATGCCAATGTAATGTGTCTTCAAACCGACATAGCTATTCACCCCACTATAAATAAGAGCCATCCCTTTCACTGGACCATTCTACCTCACACACACATACGTTGGAGTACCCCCACCACTTGCCTTTTCACCTTCTACCACACTGCTGTCCTTCACTGCGGTGAAGATCTTTGGGTTGCATGCGCCACCAGGTACTAATCAAGTACCTTGTTGTGTTAGCCCTTCTTGCTTGATTTCTTATCTATCTCCACCTCGGTTTGAATCAGTCCATAAGCATCTATTCGTCTTGATTTATTTACCTTGCAGTAAAATGAACAAAATGTTTGCGTAAACACCCAAGTTAGTCAAAACTAATTAGATCAATTGCAAAAGCTTGTAAAAGTTTATGTGAATGACATCCGTGGTATGTACTAGATCTAACATGCCAAGAATCAAATCCTAGGTACTAGTAACTTGCTAAGACATGTATGTATGTATCCAAAAAGATCAACCTTCCTGTGTATACTACCTTGTCCTATTTATTAATCCCTGCCAATCTGTAGCAAACTGGGAGATTGATGTTTATAATCTACTCACAAGTAATTATTATTTTTGGAGTTTCACTGCCACTGTTTACTTCTATATGGTGTTTAAGGATGAGTAGCACTAGTTAGGAACAACATTTAGATCTAATCAGTAGCAATACCATGACCACACTATAAATTAAATCTTGATTAATTTCATGGCCTGGAGATAAACAAAGAGAAAGAAGGCAATATGGCTGAGAGGGGAATAGTAGGGCCTGAGATAAAATGAACAATATATGCACACCCACGTTCACATATAGCAGACACTTGTTGTGAAATTTGGAGCACTTCATGGAGAAGGAATTAGGATTAGTACTTACCAGCAGTAGCAGTAGGATGTGGCTAGTCCACACCGTTAGCAGCAGAGCCATGGCGACCGAGCAGCGCCGGTGAAGCCGCACACGCCCGACGCCCATGGCTGCACGCCTCGTGCGTGTGGCTGCGCTGGCGGAGGATGTAGGCATGGAGACGTTGTTGCCGCTGCAGCCGGTGGCAAGCCCACCGGACCTGGATCAGGCGGCGCTAGGATTGAGTGGTGGCGACGTTTTTGGCGGCGGCGGATCAAATAAATAGGGGGAAATGGTAGAGGGAGACGAGGGGAATCTATAGGTGTCCGCCGTGTCGCCGGAGATGCCCGGACGGGGCAGATCGAGGAGACGGCGGTCGTGCTCTGTTCTTGGGGAAGAGAGAGAGGTGAGCGGGCTGGTTCTGTTCGTGGGACAGCAGAGAAGATGAGTAGTCTTTTTAGACTCGGGCTGGGGCTCAACCCGCGTAGTACTAGTAGTACAGTACTAGGCTACTGTTCTTTTTACTTATCATTTCTTTTACCATTCTCTGGACTGGATGACATACGTGCATGCTACTCTGTTTTGGATGGCTTAATGCATTTTATCTCTCAATGGAACACTAGGAAGTATCACCACTTAGTTAATTACATGTGGCTTGCTCAACATGGCCGTGTTGCTGGATGTTAGATTTTTAGTTAGGAAGATAAATAATAATATAAACATGTTCCTGAAATAATTACCAGGAGTCGATCTCGGACCCGTAGGAGCCACATCTGGTGGTTCCGAGTTGATCGAAGCACTATCCGGCAAGTCGTCATCTCCTTGACCATGTCTTGATAAATGTTTTCCGGGCTATGGGTCATTTCCAAAATTTTGCATAAGAATATAAAATAAATTTTTTTCATAAATAAAATGAAATTTGGATCAGGTGGATCCACTGATTTGGCAATTGGACCAGATCAGGTGAAGCATCTGTATTAAGTAGTTGTGACCCGGGTAGGGTTACAATATAAATAAATATTTGGTGGGTAGGGGAGCTCATCTTGGTGAAAGCAACCCAGGGAGGGTCGGCTTGGATGGCGGGCTCCTCTACATAGGGTATCACATTAGGACACAACCAACTGGCGCTTACTTTAAAAGCGGCGCAAACCGTACTGACCATAGACCTGGAATGGGACGGGCTGAACCAACTACCCATGCCAAGTAGCTGCCTCTGCATGGGTGAGAAGGTGGCTGTAGCCGGGTAGGTACAGTCACCCTAGGGCGGGACCGCCGGTCAGGGGTCTCGACCCGCGGGCCTTTAGTAAGGCAAGGTGGAAAAGCAGAGGTAGTGTACGGGCTGGTCAAAGGTTCTGGTTCCTTGGTCTAGTCGTGCGCACGGGTAGCGCATGGACGACTTGGACCAAGTGATGCTATGGGCAAAGCAGTACACCTCTGATCAAAGTAAATGTGATATCACTCCCAGCTTCCGGGTTTGGAAGTGCGTCGTGTGGGTTTTCCTCTAACACAGGATGTAAGATCCCACGTCGCTCTGTCGCCAGTAGATTTTATAAATAAAATTTGGTTTCCAACAAAAAGGGTTAAGGGAAAATATTTTTACCTACAAAGTATTTTTGAGCTAATGGCTCGCTGGTTGTAGCCGTGGCCGATAAAGTTTTCCTCTTTAAAGAACTCATGCATCCACTTTTCCCGGCGACTTGCGGAGTACGTATTTTATACGTACTCAGCTGCACTTATGTTTTTTTTCAGAACAAGAGAGTTATGAGAACTCTGAGGCGATAGAGAATGGTACTTATGATGAGTCTGATCATCTTAATGACTTCGGTTATTCTGAAGTGGAGTATGTTTATGAGGAAGTCGACAATCAAGGCTATGAAGAGTAGATGCCCTCCATGGTTGGTCTAGAAGGCTCGTAACTGGAAGTAGATGACGATCTATCGTCATGGTCGCTTAGGTTTAGTCGACACTTGAGGTGTCAATGTAATAAAAGCTTGCCTACTCATGGCAGCTGTACCGTCTTGTACATGATACTGTTCTCCTTAACTGATCCTGGCGCAACTCTAAAGTGACGGCTTCCGTTACGCCTGACTCTATCGGACGTAACGAGGCGTCATAGAAGAGGTGGTATCAGAGCCCCGTTAAGGAAACAGTCATGTACTTGGTTGGAGACCGTCTGAGCCCTAGGAAAGATAGGTTTTCTCCTTACCTAAAATAAACTAAAAGTTTTCTTAAAAAAATGACTCAAGTCAAGTGAAGATTAAATAATTTAGACCACACAATTGTGCAAGAAAAATGTGTTTAATTATTTATTTACTGTCCTTGGTAAAATTAATTTTACACTGTGTTATAACTAACTAAATTCTTAAATTGCTTAATGTAGGATGACGAGTGGTAGGATGTTTGGTACGGGTGCTGAGTATGGTGGTTTTGCTCTGTTCTTGGTTGAGCTTCTTGGTCTTCTGGGTGTGTTGATTGCACCGTACTACACAGTGTTTCACGACCCGTGTTCCACGGGGTACTTAGTCACAGTGCACATTCCTGAGAGCTTAGATGTCCCTTCTAGGTACAGTGTTGCACGTTACGACTTTGTTTCAGCACTTCAGGGTGCGGCACGGGATGTCGCTTTACACCTTTTCCACGCCTACCACCCTCTCCTTCAGTACGTGGGTAGAGGCGAGTGGCCTCATCAGCTAGAGGAGGCAAGGAGTTCGTCTACACCTATGCCCATTGTCGCTCCTTCGCCTTTTGCGTCCACTTCCACTTACCCTCCACTTTCACCACGTCATCCTGTTATACCTCCCACATTTTTACCACCACCAGCTTCGACTGCCGCTCGTCCACCTCTTTACCCGACAGTCCCACCCACTCGTGCAGACCACCCAGCTCCTAGAGTTATCAGGGGTTCCTCCTCTCGTGCAGTATCGCGTCCCTCCACACCGTACGAGCGTCCACCTGCACCTCAGCTTGTTCAGGACCTATTAGATCAGGTTGACACTCTTCAGAGGCGCTGTTCCGAGCTTGAGCGGGCGAACAGCGAGATGTCCACTGCGTTGAGGGACTACACCCATCCGGGTATGGCCCTCAACCCTCTTCAGATCGACAGCTCACCTTCTGCCTCTCCAGGCCGGGTAGGGTACCCGATTGACCAGGAGTCTCTTGTCGCCGACGAGCCTTCCTCTCAGGTTGCTCCTACTCTGAGTTCCGTTGTAGTTCCACCACCTCCAGAGCACACTCCCCACACTCCACCAGGTTCTCCAGCTACTGACCCTGCTCCACCTTCTCCCGATGGCACCCCCGACTTTTCAGTGATTGGCGTCACTTACTCAGAGCTT